ATTTCAACAACCCCATATTTATGTTAGGAAACTTCTAATTATGCTAATTCATTAAGCATTTTAAGAACATTTTTGGCTAAGCGCTGTGAAGAGGCATACAAATGGAGCAAGTGCTCAGTCCTTGCCCCCAAAGAGGTTGCAATGCAAAGAAAGAGAACCAAGCTCAGAACTCAGAACAAAAGCTGTGACTGCATAATAATGTACTAGTGGGGGTGGGGGGTGGGGATCTGGCAGCCCAGTTGTTACTAGGAAAGCAATTTCTAGGAGTTGAAAGTTTTAGGCCAGCTCTGAAAGAAAGTGACTGTAATGATTTGCAGGAGTGAAAGTAGGACCTTCTACTTAGGAGATTAACAGCTGCCCTGATTTAAAGTGGGGTGTGTGTCAAGTGTGGGAAACCATAAGTGTTATGGGGAAAAGGATGTCCTAAAGCTAATTCCATACAGGCTTTGTGGACTCCACCCCCACCTCAGACCAAAGCCAAAAGACACTGGGAACTCCAAACCCCATCACCACCAAAGGGAAGGTGGCTGGGAAGGAGACTGACTTCTTAGCAATCCAAAGACTGACTTGGGGACTGATTGTGATTTTGTGATAGGTAAGTTTGGTTCCCCAAGCTGACGGTCGGTTGATAGAGGCAGGGAAGGAGACTTTTTTTTTGTTACAATAAAAAGCTTAGATTTGATGAGAAGTTTATAAAACATATAAGAAAATTACATGAGAAGAATGAGTCTAATAGGTACATAAAAATAAGACAGTAATAGAGGAAGTTCTGGAGCAAAGGAAACAAACTAGATGTGCCATAATTTAGGCCTACTTAATTAAGATCTGGAATAAAATGGGAGTTGAGGAAATTTTCAACATTGAATAAACAGTAGTAAATAACTATAAAGAAAAAGCTGTGCTACAAATGATCTCATTACTACTCTTTAATTATTAAAACAATTAATCTCTAGACACCTCCCCTTACTTACAACCTACCTCCTCTTCCTAGTATACATCCTTGTATTCAAGACATTACATTGAGGATACTGTATCCAGTACTATGCCTTATTCAGCTTGCTTTGCTTTGTCTTTTTTCCATTTCATCATTTTCTCTTCATTTTTTAAAAAAATTATTTATGCTTACAAGAGCTGGGGTGTAGCCTTGAGGTGCTGGGGGGTGAGAGGATTCACCAGAGACAGAGTGGGGAGCAGAAGAGATGGATCTACTGAAATACACTGCTGAGGGGAGCAGCCGGCAGGCGAGACAAGAGAGGTCTGATGCACCATGTGGGTCATTTCCCTGCCCAGGGATCAAACTCATGCTGCAGTGACTGTGGATAGCTTCATAGGGCTGAGATTTAACTGCTTGTGCCGCCAGGGAAGCCCCTGGTCTTTAAGTCCAAGCAGTTTTACTCACAATCTTAATAACCCTTGCTATTGCTACTATACTTGAATCTGGCTGCTACTTCTATGCATGTTCCCTCTGATTATTGTGGCTTCTGTTTCCTTGTGGCTCTGCCTGATGCCCACTGGTTGCCTTCTCAAGGTGCCTTTAAACCATGACTCAGTTCACCTCAACCCCTCTTACACCTTGTACAGTGCTTGGGTAAAGTTTTAACAAGCTTCCTTAAAGATTGATTATCGGGCCTCCCTGGTGGCACAAGGGGTTAAGCACCGCACCATGAAGCAATCCGCAGCCTCTGCAGCATGAGTTCAATCCCCGGCCAGCCTGGGAGAAACCCACATGGCGAGGCAGACTTCTCCTGTCTTGCCCACTACTCCCCTCAGCAATGTATTTCAGTCAATCCGCCTGTTCTGCTCCCCACTCTGTCTCTGGTGAATCCTCTCACCCCCAGAATCTCTGGCCTGTACCCCAGCTCTTATGTGCATAAATAAATAAATCTTAAAAAAAAAAGATTGATTATCCTTGGGTCTGTTTTCCTTCCAAGTCCAACACAGTCAAGTGTTCAAAGAGGGAGAAGGGGTCAAGAAAGAGAATGGCAGACAAAGTTGGCTTGACCTATATACCTTTCATTTAATATTTTTTAAAATAAATTTTTAAAAAAATTAGTTATGCATACAAGAGCTGGGGTACAGGGCAGAGATGTGGGAGGGTGAGAGGACTCACCAGAAATAGAGTGGGGAGCAGAACAGGCAGATTTGGCTGAAATACACTGCTGAGGGGAGCAGTGGGCGAGATAGGTGAGGTCTGCTACACCATGTGGGTAGCTCCCTGGTTGGGGATCAAACACGTACTGCAGAGGCTGCAGATTGCTTCATAACCTTGTGCCACCAGAGAGGCCCTCACTTAATATTTTTAAACAAGATTTTGATACATAAAATTCCATCCTGTGAATATATACCAGATGTACTTAACTATTTCCATAAGGCTGAAGGGTCAGGAGGTTTCTGGTTTTCAATATTCTAAATAGCTTTAAGATGAACAGCCTTCTAATTTGCCTGAGTCTCAGACGAATTTCTTTTTTTTTAAAGATTTATTTTTTTTTATTTATTTATACAAGCACTAGGTACAGTCAGAAGTGCGGGAGGGTGAGAGAACTCACCAGAGCCAGAGCAGGGAGCAGAGCAGGCAGAAGGACCGAAGCACACTGCTGAGGGGAACAGCGGGCAGCAGGAGAGGTCTGCGCGCCATGTGGGACCCTCCTCCAGTGGCCGGGGAGCAGCAGGGGATCGAACCGCAGCTGCAGAGGCTGCTGGCAGCTTCGCAACCCAGCGCTCAACCGCTGCGCCACCAGGGAGGCCCTGGTTTGAATTTCTTAAAGTAGAATTAATAGATCAGAAGTGACAGAAACTTGATAAGAGTCTGCTAAACAACCTTTCAAAAGAGTTTTATGAGGCTTCCCTGGTGGCACAAGGGGTTAGGCACAGCACTGGGAAGCTATCTGCAGACTCTGCAGCAGGAGTTCAATCCCAGCCCACCAGGGAGAAACCCACATGGCGCAGCAGACCTCTCCTGTCTCAACTGCTGCTCCCTTCAGGGGTCTCTCTCAGTAGATCTGCCTGTTCTGTTCCCCACTCTCTCTGGTGAATCCTCTCACCCCCCCCATACACACCTCTGGCTTGCACCCCAGTTCTTGTATGCATAAACAAATTTAATTAAAAAAATTTTTAAAGTTTTATGATATTGAAAAAGGAAAGCCAGGTTTTGACCTTTACTGTATCTTGCTTTTTAATAACTGTGGAAAAACTATATTCACTCCAGAAATAACTTAGATGAAATTCTTCCACTTAAGAGATGCTCGCTTGTAATACATTTACATGATTTGCATTTTAGAAAGTCAAGTGGCAGGGAAGATTACAAGACAGCAGTTCATGCTTTGAGTGGGAGGAAATACACTGGGGACAGAACTGAATCAGTAAGAATTTTTGGGCACCTAAGTCCTAGAAAAGACTAAAATGAGTATTAAACTAGGCAAATTCATCCCTTACCCTTAAACTTCACATGCCTAACAACATTATATGAAGCTCGATCTTCACATTCATATTTGGGTATTTTTTTTAAGTGGGAACTGATTAGATAGATGGTTGACACTTTGTTATCTACATAAGAATTGCCAGGGTTAATATGCCACATGTGAGCTAGCCATTTCGTGTGGTTAGACACTTTTTTTTCCCTTTTGAATTTTTGTTGGTGGGATGATATAATTTCTCTGTAGGCTCCTTTTTAGAGGTCATACCATTGAAACAGACTCCCTAAGATGAAACTGTTGATTAAAATATAAAGTTATGGCTTGCCTCGTAGGTTGCATGTCACATTGTGCTCAGTTGAAGGGTATTCACATTGTACGCGTGACCTGCTGCCCCTTCAAGCTCTCGTTAGGAAGACGGGGTCTTCATTTTTTATATTTCCCCAAGTAGAAATGGCTCAGAGCTGAGCACAAAGTAAAAGCCCGATACACATTAATGGATTCAACTTCATGTACCCATATGACACCCCTTCATATGTTTCTCTCCAGTCTTTGCCATTCTTTTCTGAATCTACTTCCTTATCGGAAATTGCCAATTTCGGGTAAGGTAATTTTGGACAGAAGTGCCCTCTCGTGTCCCCTGAATCCTATTCCTCAGGAAGTTCTTCCCATGATGGCATTAACTGCCGGCTGCTGCGTGAGGAAGCCGAATTCTAGCCAGTCACAGCCACCTGCGCTTAACCAGCTGCCTCAGGAAGGCAAAGTTTTCTTGAATGTCTACGTGAATGTGGGCAGGTGTTGAAGATAACGGAATTGGCGAGCGTTTCTGAGAACAACTCGCCGCCGTGCGCGCCGCAGGCATCAGCCAGGGCGGAACGCAGCCCGGGGGACATTGCGCCTTCACATTCTCCAGCTTAGACACTGTACACCTCCCGGGCTACCTGGTGCAGCAGCCCTCTCCTGTCTCTCCCGCTGCCCCCCTCAAAAGTAGGACGCTCTCTGCAGCCTCAGCAGCACGAGTTCAATCCCCGGCCGGCCAGGGGGCCACCCACACGGCGCAGCAGACCTCTCCAGTCTCGCCCACCTGGGAAGGACGCTTCCGCTGGCTACGCTGCGCCACCTGCCGCGCTGGGGAAGGTCCATCCCTCCACCTGGAGGTGAAGCCGGGGTGCGGATGCCCGGCTCGCGCGGGTACGCCGGGGAGCGAGCGGGTCTGCAGGCGCAGCGCACAGCCCGGGCCCCGCGCGCTCTGGAGCCAAAGGGGCGGGCGCGGTGGGCGGGGGCCTGCCGTGACATCACCGCTGACGTAGCCGCCCAACCGGGCCGCCGCGGCCGCCCGCCGGACCGGGGGGAGGGGGAGCGGGAGTTGGGGGCGCTGGGGGCGAGCGCTAAGATGGCCGCTCGGGCGCAGGCTGGTGAGTGCGCGTGGGGGGCGCGCGGGGCTGCGGCGGTTGCCCGAGCGCGGCTGCCTGCGGGGGCGGACGGACGTCGGACGGGAGCTCCCCGGGGCCGGGAGGCACCTGGCGGCGTGTTCCCGCCGCCGGGGTGCAGGAGGAGGGTCCCCAGGCAGGGAGTGGGGGCTGCGAACGGGCTGCGGGGAGCGAGCCGAGGGGCGCGCGGAGAAGGCAGCAGCAGCAGCGGCGGCGAATTTAGAATTGGCGCCTCTGGGAACTTTCGGTGGGTTGTGCGATGCGCTGGCCGGTGTCCTGGTGCCCGGCTACCCGCTAGTGCGCGGAGATGCTGCGGAGCCCGTGTCTCCGGTGGGGGTGCGCGGGGGAGGCGCTCTGCGCTGGGCTGGATGGAGGACGAGTTGGGAGAAGAGGCGAAATCGGGGGGGGTGGGGGGCTTGAGATGCAAAGGGAAACCCGCGTTCCGAGCGTGGAGGGGCCGTGGATGCGAATCTGTTGGCGAGTCTGGTGCTGGCCCCGGCGCTCTGCAGAGCTGGCACCGTCCACCCGGGCTCTGATCGCCGCTGTGTGATGCGCAAAGCCCCTGGGATGCTTTGGAAAGGGCCATTCTGTTGAGAAGTCCTTTTAGAAGGGATGTCTTTTGCTGCCCCCTCCGTCGATGGGGTCCCAGCGCTGCCAGCACCTGCTGCCGCGGTTTTTTTGAATACCAGCATCCTAAAGCATTCCCACTGGCCCTCGAGGAGGGAATGCTAATAGGCCGAACTCTAATGGGGGGATCATAAGAAAAGTGTCACCCTGAGAGGATTTAAAAAAAAAAATTATTGCTCATGTTGAAGGGATAGTAGGACGAAATCCCTTGTCCCTCTTAAAAAAAAAAAAAGAAAGTGAACGTAATTGTTTCAGCAGCAAATAATACTGCTAACTGGATAATTACAAATTCTGCTGCTCACTGGATAATTTCTTGCAGTTTTTTTTTTTTTTTTCGGAAGTAAGACAGTTTGCAACTATTGAGACTGTCGAGTTTTCCACCAGCCACCCCTCTCCCGGCTTTTAAACTTTAATGGTCATTGCTTGCAAGTAACGGGGTGGTGAAATTTGCATGGAAATACGACTTCCAGGCCCTGCACTTGAATTCCTTATTATCTGTTAAGTAGTTGCATGTGGGGTGAAAGTAGGGGGTGGTGGTGACATTGTGTCTGGAATTCCATTTTGAGTTGTCTTTAAAACCAGCATTCCGTGTAAACAAGGAAAAAGAATTGGCAGTTTACTGAGCTCAACTTCGGAAAGCTCAACATGACTTCAGTACATGTTTATACAATATTTCATAACTTCAATGAAATTCAATACTCCGTTTTCTTGAAAGAGATGAAAACTTTTTACTCTTGGAACTCTAGTCGTTTTAGCCTTAATCTAGAATTTTGAGGTATTTGAAAGACCTTTTTGTTCCTTTCCTCCCACTCCGGTTTCTCTTAACTTCTTGTGTCAGAGTCATTCATTTATGCAAAGCGTGACAGATTTTTTTAACCCAGTATTGATCACTGTAGACTATCCCCACTGAAATTTAGAAGGTACTCTTAAATCATTCAGGGCAGACGTTGTAGTAAGTTGCAATGTTTTAGCTATTTCCATTGTGCATTACTTGTTTTTCATCCAAAATATTAATTCGAGATTTTTAAGGCAAAAAATTTTAAGTACTAGATATGGATAGTTCTTTCATATAATATACAATGATAAACTTTTTTGGAAATACTTAAGATGGAAAGACCTGTTCCTGATTTAGGTTAAATGTATTAAATATATTGCTTCAATCTAATTTTCTTTCCCACCCCTACTTTCCACACAATTTGTGCCACAAAAGAAAGAAGTAGCATATGTGCCCTCTACCAAATTTTTCTCGACACACTTGAATCTTACTGAGTTTATACCATTGAGGGTACACAAAGAGAATTTTCTGCTCATTGGGTTGTTTGAGGGCAGAGTCTGATTGTATTTTATTTGTATCCCTAGCACCTGACTAACCGCTTAACGTGGAAGGGGGGGCTCCTGTAAATATTTGTTGAACTGGATTTTTGAATGGTATAGAGGTGTAGCAAAAAAAAAAAAGTGCTTTGAAGTTTTTCTCCTTTCTGCAACATTAGAACAATCGTGGTTGCCAGATTCTAATGGAGTCGTCTGAAGGAGATTAAATAGAAGAGCCAGGAGCCTAATCAAACATATGCCCAGTCATTCTCTGGATCCAGTAATGTGGGATAGTTTTGCCATTAGACCCCGCCTCAATATATGATAAATAACTAAAATATAGACGGATTCTACAAATACTGGCTTTCTGGCAAATATTAAGATTATTGTAAGAGTGCTTTTGACTTTTCACAGCTCTTTCAGACAAAAAAAAATTTACTATAAAGAATTCATTTTAATGGAGTGTTACATATCAAGGGAAGAAATGAATTTTCTAAGCATCCAAGAATGTTTTTGTTTGGCCAGTGGTGAAAGTGTTAGGGGGAAAAGGGGGTTGCTCTATAAAAAAAGTACTAGAATGATAGAATCTAGGCATTTTGCACGTGGTATTTGAACTCAGTATATTAGCCCCATCGTAGAACACTCAGTCTTTTTGTGAATGTTTTCCTCATTGTTACGAAGTTAACTGGTGGTATAGGAGTATAGCAGTATGACTCTCAGGATAAATATTTTGCCGATGAATGAAATACTTGTAAGTAGTGATGGATGAGTAAACCAAGTAATGAGGAGGCAGAGCTTGATTTTGAGTAACTTTTCTTAGAAAATCAACTAGATCCAACCTCTCTGTGCTTCAAGAGAGAATGTTAGACATGAAGCAAGCCCAGAAGAAAATGGTATCCTTTTTTGTTTCAAGCGAGGTCAGGGTAGTTGCAGATTCTATATCTTTTAGAGGAAGAAAGAATAGCCAGGGCCTTTCTAGGGATATAAAGGAAAGGGAATACATCATGATTGACAAGGAGAGCTGCCAAAGCACAAAACAAGCATAATAGCATACCTAAGAGGGAGGTGGGGGAGTTTGAGAGCCCATTGTGTTCATTTATTCAATAATTTGTTCTTTCAAAAATATTGAACCCCTTTTTTATGTGTACCAGGCAATATGCTTGACCCTTGACATTTTACAGACAGCTCTTGAGAGGACAGGGTACTATGGTGGTTCCCTGAAAAGAATGGAAAATTGAAAACGGTTCCTAAGGAATGGGTAGGGTTTGCCCTAATTACTTAATGGATGAAGTTATTTTCATTCTTAGCCAAATGCGTGTAAAGATTGTCATGGTTAGTAATTCCTGAGGCCTGTTTCCAATTGGGATTGCCATTTCCTCCTATCTTTTATTATGGAAAATAGCAAATCATCCTGCTTCTAAAAGCCCCTGTAGGATCAGTCTAGGTTATTTGGTACTATGAAAAGAAAAATAAGTTTTGTAATAAAAATTGCCTTTGTTAAAATAAAGATCCAACATATGCCTACTCTTTAATAACCATCCTTCTGGGAGTCTCAGGAGGATTTTCTTTAATGGGATAAAGATCTTTACTGTGACACAATTTTATTGAAATGATTATTCTACTTTATGCCCAGTGGCATTTATGTTCTTGAATAGAAGTAATTGAATATATATAAATACATGAAATATTTCCTATAAAACATTCATATCCCAGTTATGAAAAGTTTTAAAAATCAAACTTATTCACCATCATATATAAAATCATTTTAACAAAAGCTGTCTGGAAAGTGGCTAGTTGATGAGTGGAGAAAAGTATAAATTGCTCCACAAACTTGAAGGCTCTAATGTGCCTTGCCAAGCAGTTTAGATTTATCTTGTGGTCTTTTAAGACTTTTTTTTTAAGATTTATTTTATTAATGCATACAAGAACCAGGGTACAGGCCAGATGCGCAGGAGGGTGAGAAGATTCACCAGAGACAGAGCAGGGAACAGAACAGACAGAGTGATGAAATACAGTGCTGAGGGGAGCAGCAGGCAAGGCAAGAGAGCCATGTGGATATCTCCCCACCATCATCAAACCCGTGCTCTAGAGGCTGTGGACAGCTTCATAGTGCTGCACTCAACCACCTGTGCCACGAGGGAGGCCCATTTAAGACTTTTAAATAATCTTTTAATAATTGTAAAATTGCCTATAAGACTCATAAGGGATTATATCAAATGTACATGTTATTATGTGATGACTATTTGACCAATTATGAAGAGAAAAGCTTAATAGAGCATAATGATGTTATTTTAGTATCAATTCAGATATTTACATGTAGATTGCTTTAATTTTACTTACGAATGTATATTAGCCATTCCCTCATTCTTTGTCACCTTTCTAAATCATAATTTGGCTATATTTTGTGTGTTTTACATGTTTACTTCCAGATTTTCATAAAAATTTTTTATTATTTTTAATTGCGGTAACATAGGCTTACAACACTATATGATTCAGAGGAATAGGTTCATACCTCCTCAGATGCATGTTACATTTTTTAAAGCATACCATCTGAAAACTGTGCTGCTACTTGACTAATTAAAAAATCAATATAGGGGCCTCCCCGGTGGCGCAGCGGTTGAGCGCTGGGTTGAGAAGCTGCCCGCAGCCTCTGAGGCGCCGGTTTGATCCCCGGCTGCTCCCCGACCACCGGAGGAGGGTCCCACATGGTGTGCAGACCTCTCCTGCCGCCCGCTGCTCCCCTCAGCAGTGTACTTCGGTCCTTCTGCCTGCTCTGCTGCTCCCCGCTCTGACTCTGGTGAATTCTCTCACCCTCCTGCGCTTCTGACTGTACCCAGTGCATGTATAAACAAAACAAATAAATAAATAAATAAATAAAACATGCCTTTATTTAAAAAAAAATCAATATAGATTACACTCATAATTGATCTTTGGTACCTCACCTCCTGTAGGAACTTCCAAAGCTTGTGACTATAATGTACCTTTCCAGGTGTCTTGTTAAGAAACTAAGTTGGAAACGGGATGATTAGCTGAAAAAATTGTTGAAAATAATAAAAATTTACAACAGAATGTTAATTTTTGGTGTAAAGATTAGCTTCCCTCTAATTTTCAGTGATTGTTACAGTTCTTAGTAATTCTTAGAGTTGGAGCACCAATCTTTATTTATAAATGGGTTACTATGATCTAAAAATTTTTTTAAAGATTTATTCATTCATTCATACAAGAACCAGGGTATGGGCCAGATGCATGGGAGGGTGAGAGGACTCACCAGAGACAGAGTGGGGAACAGAACAAGCAGACTGATGAAAT